AGCCCGCCTGTTGTTTTTACGAACGCCTCGCGGCGCTCTGATGTCCCTGCTCGTGGCCACTCCACAGGTTGGTCGTCTAGGAACTTAAGAGGACCGTTTAGGTCACTGCCAACTGTCAATTCTGTCTGAATATAGCTCCCAACTGTTGTGCTTGCGAGCTGGCCATGGCTGCACTCAGTCGGATTTAACGTACAGGTATGTAGATGCATCCGCGGTACTGTATATATTCTATTGATGCCTTTCTTTGTCACGTGCCCACCGATCAACTGCTCCCAAATTTACAGATTCCGATGGCTCCAATTCCCAAGGCGGATGAGCTGTCTCTGGGGTCGGGCTTTGGTGGATACGGTGGTGATGGTGCGGGTGGGCCTGGGGCAGATGGGGAGCAAGGTGTGCCGACACTCATCACATGGACGCATGGAGGCAACCATGTGTCTGTGGATGGTTCATGGGACAACTGGACGACAAGGTATGGCCATGATATTCAAGCTATTCATTACGGAAGCTAGAGTCTTGGAGTGTAAGTATAGCTGTTATCGTATCAAGCTCATAAACTGCATGGCTATTTGACCTGAAGGGCTAACAGCAGAATAGCAGAGAAAATGACACCACACATTGTTAACACTTTTTTTCAATCTCGCATCCATTTCTTCTTCAGGCAAGTATTGCAGCGTGCCGGCAAGGATTTCACAATTGTGAAGATGCTGCCTCCTGGGGTGTACCAATACAAGTTCATTGTGGACGATGTGTGGCGCTATGCTCCTGACCTTCCAGCCGTGTACGATGAAATGGGAAACGTAAACAACGTTCTGGAAGTACAGGTATGTTATTACCAGACTTTGTCAAGCTTACACTTTCGGTGCAATTTCTCTTGCTGATGTGTGTGGTTTCCCTGCAATCACTGTGCAGGAGTATGTGCCAGAGAACCTTGACAATGTAGCGGGATTTGAGCCGCCTCGGTCTCCTGTCTCTAGCTACAATGACCCTTTTCCTGTTCCTGAAGACTTTGCCAAAGAGCCTCCTCTTCTTCCTCCTCACCTCCAGCTCACCTTGCTGAATGTTCCCGTTGCTGGTGACGCTCCCACGACATTGCCTCGGCCACAACATGTCATTCTGAACCACTTGTATGTGGAGAAAGGTAAAGCAGCAAGGTCGGTGCTTGCTCTTGGGCTGACGCATCGGTTTCGCTCTAAATATGTCACGCTTGTCTTGTATAAGCCACTCCATAGGTAGTGTAACACTTGCGCTGCAATCCACCGTATGTACAAAATGGCTGTAACAAAAACAGCTGAGAAGTGGATTACAGTCTAGAAATGTCATCTAGGGTTTTCTCCTTCCTTCACCTCCACCTGCGAATTATGGGCTCTGGTCACCTCTGGTCAGGTTATCAGAAGTCCCACTTGATCATTAGAACCCAAGTGAGTGCCAAGTGGGGATATGATCGATCAGAAGATTCTGTGTTCATCTTGGTTAACTAAGGTCAAACAGTGACGTAAACACTCGTGTGGTTTTTCATTTAGAATTCTGTCTCAAACAGCCAAGACGAAAGTTGGGAACAGTCAGTAAGCCAAGAACCTTAGGTAAGGATATCTAATCAATGCACAAGGCTGTATATTGTCAATCTTCCCAATCCGCACTGCATCTCCATCTCATGTCTATTCTAGCCAGCAAACCCTTCCCTTGCCGACACAGCCTACCCCTAAGAGCTGGTAGGCCCATCTGCAGGGGAACATGCACGCCCCTCATCTCATATAAACGCTTAGAAACCATGCATCTTGATGAGGTCCTTCTTTGCAATACCAGCTTGAATGAGGAACTGGGACACGTTCTTCCGCTGGTCGCCCTGAAGCTGAATGACCTGTAATAACAAGAGCGAAAACGTTAGCGAACCGGGAAAGGATCCAACGGATTGGAGAGGACGGGCTGAATACAAACCTGACCAAGTTCGATGTCCTGAACGACGGTGCCGTTGCAACAGAACTCCTGAGACATACAGAGAAAAACGAAACCCAACAGCTTAGCCATACACTGATGAATTAACACTCAAACACTATCTTTAAAAAACGAAGCCTTACCTTCTTAAAATCCTTCAATATCTTGTTGTAATTGAATTCCTTATTCAGGCCTTGGACAGTTGTCAGACTCTTACGACCATTCCGTTGCTGGATACGGATATGGACGTAATCCTTAGTTCCGGCTCCAGGATCATCAGCAGCATTCGCGTCAGCAAACGGGTCTGCAAGCAAGTTCAGGAATGGTCAGAACAGTGACTACACCAGAATATAGATAAACTGAAGCTAAGCCGAACAACAACAACGACCTACCGAAGGCCCCAGGAACCTCGAGTTCTAGATCGGACATGAACGAAGGATGGATGATGCGCCTTGGAAGCTGAAGGATGTGCGTGGGCTACTGAATCTGGAGGAGGACGACAATGACAAACCCTAGCAAAAGTGCCTGGACCTATACGAAGTGGAAATGGTCTCGCGGAAGCACTGAACGTTTCAAAGCTTTCTTGAATCAGTCAGTTGATATATCCGAACTGACCTTGGGTTTGGTTGGGATGGGATGGGAGAAGGGTTGAACGGTCACTTTCTGGAACAACTTTCTCCGTGGCGGGCAGATCTTCGTTTCGTGCAACCAGCGATGCCGTAGAGGAGAAGTTTCGCCACGTCGGCGACCTTCGCGAAGCCCAACAACTCTTAGGGCGCGGAGCATTTGGAAATTTGCAGATTTTTTCGTACGGAAGCTTAGAGTTGCGTACCGTCGTCCGGTCTGTTCCCAAACGGACGACGGTTCGGACCAGACCTGGACCAAAGCTGAAGTTGGAACATTTGATCGGGTTTGCGTTATGGGAATTCGAACGTCGCCACAGACGACTGATTGGCCCTCAATTTGGAGGGATTTCGGCGACGTCGCCAGACAATGACAGGATGGCCCAAATGCAGTCGCACGATTACTGTACATCTGAGTTCCGAACGTAGCAAACGGCCGGATGTTCCAACAGTCGTCCGAGCTCTGGCGACGTCGCAAACCTATTCACGAATCCTTCAGCGAAAATCTTAGAAAAGGGAAACCACACCGAGTTTCGAACTACGCTCTGGTTCGAACGGGTCAGATTTCAAATGTTCCGCGCCCTTACGGAAATTCTCTGTCGCGTCAGCATCATCCCCACCGCGTCAGGCCGCTAAGTGCTTCTTGTCAGTGTACACGCAGGCAAAATGCAGCATTGTACACTGAGCTGGATATAATCGCGTTGAAGGTAATGTTATTGCCTACTTGAATTCATTGATTTGTAATGTTATTCTTTTGTGGTTTAGCTTGTCTTTTGGTTTAACTCATAAAAGGTTCAGAGAGGTTGTAGACAACTTCCTCTGGTGTGCTATGAACAACTCGGAGAATTGTTTATTAAACAAAAAAAATACAGATGAAGGACTATGTGTCATCTGGTGCTCGTCCAACATCCAACATGGCTGCCATGTACAAGCATGAAGCATGCATTACAAACATTACAAACGGGGGGAAGATGAAGGGGTTGATGACAGGAGAGGAGCAGGAGAAAGAGGAGGCCAGGACAGGGAGTGATGAAGGCTGGGAGAGGGAGTGGGCAAGGGGCCTAACCATCAGTGAACGCCAGCCATATGATAAAACAAACAAACTACTTGCGTAAACACGCACAAAAGTGTATTCTATTAACTGCAAGACATGGTGGTCTCACCTGTGGTGGACGCACTCTTTCCCGTGGCACGTGTTATCTTGCTCCTGGGTCCGAAATTGTCAAAATACACTTTGGCAACAATCATGAAGATTAAGAGCGCTATCTCCACGGATTGAGGGATGTAAATAACCCATAAGCCGAAATGAATAGAATAAACGAGGTAGAGTAGATGCGCGAGGGCAAAAATGAATTGCCTGCGCATGGTGAATCCAGAACAAGGGAGCAAGGGAGCATTGGCACGGAAAAGGGAGGACAGGATGACTTGAGGACAGAAATTCGTAATCAGGGAGCTCAGAATATCAAATGATATGATAATAGGGCAATATCATGTTTCGCACGCGTGCGAACCTATACCTCTGAATGGCATGGGGCAGACGAGAGTAGTACCATAAATCCTTTCGCCAAGCAACAAAAATCGTGATAACAGCATGCAAGCATGCTAAACACAATCAATACCTAGAAATAGCTCATCTCATCCGCGAGCTCACCAGGCGTAGCTTAAGTCGGTGGCTGATTTTGTCCTAAGAACCTTGTATGTCTGAGCCGCTGTGGACAGAGGAAACATGCAGCCCCCCACGAAACCTATCACCTGATACGCGTCATCAAACACCATAATATTGAATCACTCCCTGGACTGAATTCAAACCACGCTACATTGAGTCTTGCAAGCACACTCAAACGAAGCACCTAGGAACTGGGAGAATTGTTTGAGGCTACCGCAAGCAAGCTCAATTGTATATAGAGCTGGTGGTGACTGCCTTGCCTGTCCAGGTTCGACGTGATGAGAATGGTTGGTTGACGACACTGCTGGATGTGGTGCAGAGCGGTGAGTCGAGATTTGCACACAACTCTGAATCTTGCGCGGTGTACAAATTCTGAACCAAAATGAACAGTCTCAAAACACACGGATGCCGGGGATCGAACCCGGACCATCGGCGTGACAAATGAAACCGACCATTATACTACATCGATTTGTTCATTTATTAAATGTTTATGGTGGTTGATGTTTTTTTATATTTCCTTTCAGCAGAGCCAGCTTTTCACAGTTGCCATGATTGCTTCTGCCTTCTCACCTCCCCTTCTCCAGCCATTGCCCTCCCTTCGCATTTCAGGGAGTTCAATTGGCTCATTTCGTTGCGCCAATAGGCAGGCCCACTCGCGGGAAGGGCGGGAGCGGAGGAAAGGGATTTGCCTACGAGCCAGTGGCCGGGGTGCAGATTCCAGTTCCTTTTTCGTGAATAAGTCTGAAGCAGTTTCTAGCGAAAGCGCGCGATCCGTGAGAATGACAGGATCGTTGGATTCCTCCGTTCCGCCGGATTCCACGGAGAACACCAGCAGCAGCGATAAAATAGTCGTGACTCCCATAGTAACTGAGGGGATCATTCGTCTGGACGCGGACGAAGCTTCTCGGAAGGCGGCCTTTCCGTCTCTCTCATTCGCAGACCCGCCGGCCAGGGAGCAACGACTAGGAGGCGGTGGTTCGGGAAAAGAGGAGCTCTCAATCGAAGAATTGCTTGCAGGGGTCGCTGCGTCTGTAGAATTCAGCTCGCGAAACGACCAGCAAGTGGTTACCATCCAGGTAATTCGACCATATGAATGCGAAGGCCGAATCCATTCATGTCCGTTCACTGCCTTGCCTCCAGTTTTTATTCTCCTTATGATCAAATTATTCAAGCGTGGATTCTTGTTGCCACCCTCGCCTCTTGAATGCATTTATGTGTAAACACCACCCTCGCCTCTTGGTGTTTGACCTTCCCTCCCTGGCAGCTACCGGATGGGTCGTCCTTCTATGGAACCGGGGAGGTGGGAGGGCCTCTTGAGAGGAGCAAGAAACGGGTAAATGGGATGCTGGGGGTGATGCTGCTGCTGATGTTGTGTCCTGGAGAAGATGCTGCTGTTGCTGGTGCTAGCGCTGGCTGGCTGTACTGCTGCTGCTGCTGCTTCTGGTGCTGATGCTGTGTCTGGCTGTACACGCCGCTGTTGCTGGTGGTGGTGGCTGGTTGGCTGGCTGTTGCTGTTGCTGTTGCTGCTGCTGCTGCTGCTGCCGCTGCCGCCGCTGTCGCCGCCGCCGCCGCCGCCGCCGCTGCTTCTGCTGCTGCTGCTGCTGCTGCTGCTGCTGCTGCTACTGCTGCTGCTGCTGCTGCTGCTGCTGCTGCTGCTGCTGCTGCTGAAAGAGTCCTTCCCACACTCTCCCACTCGCCCCCCTTGACCAGATCTTCACATGGAACACGGACTGCTGGGGCTTCAACGGCAGCACCCCCTCGCTCTACATGTCCCATCCCTGGGTCTTCTCCCTGCTGCCTGACGGCCGCTGCATCGGCTTCCTGGCTGACACCACCCGGCGCTGCGAGGTGAGGAGGTGGATAGATGGGGTGTTGATAGGTTAAGTTGTGGCATGGCACAGGTGGTGGGATCAGTGGATAGGGTAGGTATGGTAGCAGGCAGGCAGCATGCAGGTTGCTTTACGTGTCGCATCCTATGGACTTCTCTCTGCTGGCTTACATCCTCTGCCTCGGCTTCCTAGCCGAAACCACACTGCGCTGTGAGGTGAGAGGAGAAGCAAGTGATGCAGGCAGCTGTGCTGTGCTGTGCTGTGATGTGATGTGATATGATGTGATGTGATATGATGTGATGTGATGTGCTGTGATGCGATGTCATGCGATGCAATGCGATGCGATGCGGTGTCCTTGTGGTTTGATGGCCCTCTGATTGATTTGTTTCTGGTTAGTTCGTTTCAGGTTGATGCCACGTGGGTTTACCTGTTAGAATATGTCTGCACCTGCATGCATGCCTAGTGTTGGGTGTAGATAGGGCTGATTGGTTCGCCCAACATTAATTGGTTTGGTTGGTTTACCAGATTAGTGTAATATGGAGGACGCCTCTACCTTGCAGGTGGACCTAAGAGCCGCTCTGGCCCTCTGCTTCACAGCGTATGCGCCCTTCCCGCTCATTCCCTTCGGCGCCGCCGCTTCTCGCCTCCTCCCTCCCTCCAAGGCTCCACCCCTCACTCCTCACCTCACTCCACCATGCCTCTCCCCCCCTACAGGTGGATCTAAGAGGTGCACCCACCCTCTGCTTCACGGCATCCGCTCCCTTCCCGCTCATCCTCTTCGGCCCTACCGCCTCTCCCTTGCACCTCCTGCAACTGCTAGCCAAAGCCATTGGTGAGTGTCTGATAGCACAGGGGGTTTGTCGTAAGCGCCTCCCTCCCTACTAGGCGCTGCAGAATCTGTAGCCTGTAGGAGCCTCTACTTCGGATGCGCCTATTTTTGAGTCGACTCAAAAGTAGCCTGTAGGAGCCTCTACTTCGGATGCGCCTATTTTTGAGTCGACTCAAAAATAGCCTGTAGGAGCCTCTACTTCGGATGCGCCTCTACTTCTGGCGCGCCTTTAGGCTGGAGCCTGTAGGTGTGTACAACTAGGCTCAAGTGTGGTCCTTCTTCCTCTCTCCGCGTCCCCGTTTTATTCCTGCCAAACCATCCCTCCTCCCAGGCCCCCTCCCTCTCCCTGCGCGCTGGGTGCTGGGTTACCAACAGTGCCGCTTCAGCTACGAGTCTGTAGCCAGGGTGGAAGAGGTAAGGAGCGGTTAGGAGTGGTGGAAAGTGGTGAGGAGGGGTGAGAATGGTGTGTGAAAGGTAACAGATGGATGGATGTGGTATGGACACCGTCCTTCTTGGTTGGCTAGAACCTTTTGGTGATCGTGTGATGTGGATGACCGCGCTGCACCGCACCGCACTTCACCGCACTTCACTGTAGTCCACTGCACTGCATGGCATGGGTACATGAATGAATTGTCACCTCTGACGTGGCTACTTTTCCCCCACTCTTTGGCCGTGTGCCTGTCATCCGTGTGATGTCATCTGGATAGACATTGACTGCATGGATGGCTGTTAGTACAAGACCTCTCCCAACCCCTGACTTTTGAGTCGACTCAAAAGTCACCTCGTCTGGATAGACATTGACTGCATGGATGGCTGTTAGTACAAGACCTCTCCCAACCCCTCTCCTTCTGGTCACACCACACCTACTCCCTTCCTTCCCTCCCTTCCCAGGTCGACAGAACCGTCAGAGGGAAAAGGATCCTGTGTGACGTCATGTGGATGGACATTGACTATTTGGTTTGGACGGCTACAAGAGCTTGTCTTGCTGTCGCCTTGACCCCTTCTGTCTTGCTGTATGCCTGCCTGCCGATCCTGCTCGTGTACAGGTAGCAAGGACCTTCCGAGGAAAAAATGTTCCATGTGACGTCTTGTGGATGGACATAGACTACGTGGACGGCTACAAGAGCTTAACCTTTGACCCGCTCGAATCTTCCAGCCCGACCCCTGTCTCTGTCCTTTCTCTTCCTCCTCTTCGCTCCCATTCTTCATCTCCCCGTCCTTCATAGGTCTCCAGAACATTTGGGTTGAAGAAGATCCCATGTGACGTCATGTGGATGGACATAGACTACATGGACGGCTATAAGAGCTTCACCTTTGACCTGGTCAACCTCTCCCATTCTTCTTCTTCGATTCTCTTTCCCTGTCCCTGTCCTGCTCTTCCGTCCAGGTAGCAAGTACTTCAAGAGATAAGAAGATCACAGGTGATGTCATGTGGATGGACATAGATTACATGGAAGGCTACAAGAGCTTCACCTTTGATCACGTCAACTGTCCCAGCCAGCCCCTGTCTCTGTTCGTTCTCTTCCTCCCCTTCGCTCCCTTTCCTCATCTTCCCGTCCCACATAGGTCGCCAGAAAAATCAGGGAAAAGATGATCCCGTGTGACGTGATGTGGATGGAAATAGACTACATGGACGGATACAAGAGCTTCACCTTCGACCCGTTCATTCTTTTCCTCCCCTCCCCTCCCCTCCCCTCCCTCCCCTACCCTCCCCTCCCCTCCCCTTCCTGTGTGTGTCCTGCTCTTGCACACAGGTGGCAAAGACTTTTAGGGAGAAGAAGATCCCGCGTGACGTCATGTGGATGGACATAGACTACATGGACGGCTACTACAAGAGCCTCACCTTTGATGCAGCCACCTTCACCCATATTGCTTTGCTGTGTGCCTGTCCCCTCCTCTTGCACACAGGTGGCAAAGACATTCAGGGAAAAGAAAATTCCATGTGATGTTATGTGGATGGACATAGACTACATGGACGGCTATAAGAGCTTCACCTTTGATCCAGCCACCTACCCCGACCCTCTTGGGCTCGCGCGGTTCTTGAACGAGGCGGGCTTTAAGGCGATCTGGATGCTGGACCCGGGGATCAAGAAGGAGCAGGGGTACGGTCCGGTTGAGTCCGGTGATGCGGCTGATGTGTGGATCCTCAATGCAGAGGGCAAGCCGTTTGTTGGTAAGCGTGGCTATTTGTACATGTGTATGTAGGCGTGCCCGTGCACTTGTTTGTAGACTTGTTTGTTTCAGTAAGCGTGCTTAGCCTAGTGCGCACTCATCAGCTTGCGTGTTTTTTTAGCAAGGCAGGCTTTAAGGCGATCTGGATGCTGGACCCGGGGATCAAGGAGGAGCAGGGGTACGGTCCGGTTGAGTCCGGTGATGCGGCTGATGTGTGGATCCTCAATGCAGAGGGCAAGCCGTTTGTTGGTAAGCGTGGCTATTTGTACATGTGTATGTAGGCGTGCCCGTGCACTTGTTTGTAGACTTGTTTGTTTCAGTAAGCGTGCTTAGCCTAGTGCGCACTCATCAGCTTGCGTGTTTTTTTAGCAAGGCGGGCTTTAAGGCGATCTGGATGCTGGACCCGGGGATCAAGGAGGAGCAGGGGTACGGTCCGGTTGAGTCCGGTGATGCGGCTGATGTGTGGATCCTGAATGGAGAGGGCAAGCCGTTCGTAGGTGAGTGTGTGTCACGCTGTGGCCTGTGGAGTGGATGGGTGAGTGTGTGGCTGTCTGTGGCCCTGTGGGTGAGCGTGAATGGGTGAGCTGAGCTTCACCTTCGGTCTGGTCTCCTACCCCGACCCCCTTGGGCTGGCACAGTTTCTAAACGAGGCGGGCTTTAAGGCCGTCTGGATGCTGGACCCGGGGATTAAGGAGGAGCAGGGGTACGGTCCGGTTGAGTCCGGTGATGCGGCTGATGTGTGGATTCTGAATGGAGAGGGCAAGCCGTTCATGGGTGAGTGTGTGGCTGTGAGTGAGTGTCACGGTTGGGGAGTGTGCTTGACTATGTCCTCATTCTCCCATGGGGCACTTTGTTTTAGAGCTAAAACATGGTGACTTAACTACCAGCCAACCCGCTGTGCTGGCTTACCTTTCCCCACGCCTTCTTCCCCTCTCTCCCCCAGGTGACGCGTGGCTGGGCCCCTGCAAATTCCCTACACGATGCAGCGAGCAAGAGAGTGGTGGAGAGACATTGAGACAGGGGCAAGGGAAGGAATACTCAAAGCCTCGTTTTATCCCTTCCTCCCTCCGATGCGACACTGCACTGCGCACCCAGGGTGACGTGTGGCTGGGCCCCTGCAAGTTCCCTGACCACACGATGCAGTGAGCGGGAGAGTGGTTGCAAGACATTGAGACAAGGGAAAGAGCAGGAATTCTCACAACCTCTTGCTATTGGTCCCTCCCACCCATGCGGCACTGCACACAGGTGACGTGTGGCCGGCCCCCTGCAAGTTCCCTTCCCTGACTACACGATGCAGCGAGCCAGGGAGTCGTGGCGACATTGAGATATGATATGGGCAAGAATTCTCACAACCGCTTGCTATCCTCTTCCCCCCGCATCCAGGTGACGTTTGGCCTGGCCCCTGCAAGTTCCCCGACTACACGATGCAGCGAGCCAGGGAGTGGTGGCGAGACATGGTGGCGGAGTTTGCACGGGAGGGGGTGGATGGCATTTGGAACGACATGAATGAACCCACCGTGTTCCGAGTGAGTTGAATGGATGGGAGAGGAATTATGGGGCATTTGGAACTTTAATGGGGGAGGTACACATGATGCAGCAAACGAGGGAGTGGTGGCGAGACATGGTGGCTGAGTTTTCAAAGGAGGGGGTGGATGGGATCTGGAACGACATGAATGAACCCACCGTGTTCCGAGTGAGTTGAGTGGATCATGGGAGCTCATTCTGGGAGTGCATCTGTCTGTCTGTCTGTCTGTCTGTCTGTCTGTCAGTCTGTCTGTCTGTCTGTCTGTCTGTCTGTCTGTCTGTCTGTCTGTCTGTCTGTCTGTCTGTCTGTCTGTCTGTCTGTCTGTCTGTCTGTCTGTCTGTCTGTCTGTCTGTCTGTCTGTCTGTCTGTCTGTCTGTCTGTCTGTCTGTCTGTCTGTCTGTCTGTCTGTCTGTCTGTCTGTCTGTCTGTCTGTCTGTCAGTCAGTCAGTCAGTCAGTCAGTCAGTCAGTCAGTCAGTCAGTCAGTCAGTCAGTCAGTCAGTCAGTCAGTCAGTCAGTCAGTCAGTCAGTCAGTCAGTCAGTCAGTCAGTCAGTCAGTCAGTCAGTCAGTCAGTCAGTCAGTCAGTCAGTCCGTCAGTCCGTCAGTCCGTCAGTCCGTCAGTCCGTCCGTCCGTCCGTCCGTCCGTCCGTCCGTCCGTCCGTCCGTCCGTCCGTCCGTCCGTCCGTCCGTCCGTCCGTCCGTCCGTCCGTCCGTCCGTCCGTCCGTCCGTCCGTCCGTCCGTCCGTCCGTCCGTCCGTCCGTCCGTCCGTCCGTCCGTCCGTCCGTCCGTCCGTCCGTCCGTCCGTCCGTCCGTCCGTCCGTCCGTCCGTCCGTCCGTCCGTCCGTCCGTCCGTCCGTCCGTCCGTCCGTCCGTCTGTCCGTCCGTCTGTCCGTCTGTCCTGTCTGTCTGTCTGTCTGTCTGTCTGTCTGTCTGTCTGTCTGTCTGTCTGTCTGTCTGTCTGTCTGTCTGTCTGTCTGTCTGTCTGTCTGTCTGTCTGTCTGTCTGTCTGTCTGTCTGTCTGTCTGTAGTCTGTGTCTGAGTCTCTCAGTCTGCACGTGTATTCGCCTTTATTCCCCTCCCTCCTCCCCTCACATGCCAGGCAGTGAACAAGACGATGCCAGACGGCAGCATTCACACAGGGGGGACGACGACAGGTGTCTGTGCTAGTGGCGGCTTAGATTTATTCTACTCACTTCCTTTCCCCATATTTCCTCCCTCATGCACACCAGGCTGTGAATAAGACCATGCCAGACGACAACATTCACAGAGGGGACGATGACATGGGCGGTACTCAGAACCACCTGCACTACCACAACGTGAGTTACCAAGTTACGAAGTTACGAGCAGGGCAGTGAACAAGACGATGCCAGACGGCAACATTCACAGAGGGGATGATGACATGGGGGACACCCAGAACCATCTGCAGATTCTGCACTACGACAATGTAAGCCAGGACGCTGCTGTGCAGATATGCACATCAGGGTAGTTAACAAGACCATGCCAGGTGGAGTTTATGAACCGCCCACCCGGTTCTGTGTCACACTCAATCAGAGCAAGCGGAGTACCGCCTTATGGCCCCAATGCCACTGGCGGTTCATGAACCCGGGTGGTCAGCACAAGCACGGTACCGCTGCCTGCCCAAGGCCCATGCTTTTGGGGCCCATGTCCTGGTCCGGGTCACACATAATTGGCTTTTGAGTTGACTCAAAAGTCTTCTTGCTTCGCTACAAAGCTTGGGCCCAGGCCCGGTCCGGGTCACGCACGATTGATCTGTTGCTGCTGACTTGTGCCCAAGGCCTGCCTCCCAGACTCTCTCATCTCCTCTCTTTTGGCCCCTTTCCTCTGTGTGTCTGTGTGTGTACGTTTCTCGCCTGCTCCCTCCCAGGTATACGGCATGCTCATGGCTCGAGCGACCAGCGAGGGTCTCGAGAAGGCCCTCCCCGACAAGCGGCCGTTTGTGCTGACCCGGGCGGGGTTTATCGGCAGCCAGCGCTACGCTGCCTCGTGGACTGGCGACAACCTGGCTACATGGGAGTACCTCCACATGAGCGTGCCCATGGCGCTTAACATGGTATGGTGTGGTGCGGTGCAGTACGGTTGGGGAAGTGTAGAGTTGGTTTATCGGCAGCCAGCGTTATGTTGCGTCGTGGACGGGGGACAACCTGGCCACCTGGGAGTACCTTCACATGAGCGTGCCCATGGCTCTTAACATGGTATGGTGTATATTGTGATTGTGATATGGCACGGTGCAGTACGGTTGGGGAGGTGTAGAGGTGGTTCATGGGCAGGCAGCCAGCGCTATGCTGCGTCGTGGACGGGCGACTACCTGGCGACCTGGGAGTACCTGCACATGAGCGTGCCCATGGCTCTTAACATGGTGGAGCTCACAAGCATTTTTAGATAGGGGAAAAAAAACACACACACACACACACACACACACAAACGGTGAGCACAACACCAAGAGAGATGGTGGTCGCTCTTGTGAGTTTTTCCAGGCCATTTTCAAGCCTCATAGGTTCCCACTAGCATATCCCCTCCCCGTGAGGGAACTTAAAATGCTTGAAGATGGCGTGGAAAAACTCGCTCGATCGACCACCATCTCTCTTTGTGTTGTGCTCACCGTTTTTTTTTTTTTTTTTTTTTTTTTTTTTTTTCTGTCAATAGAAAGCTAAAAAACTCCACCTGCCTGCTGACCTTCTTCGGCATGGGAATATTCGTGTCAGGTATCGTGTACACATGTTGCTCCAATTTGTGACGTTCCATGATCCACCTTCGACGGGTCTTTCTTGGAGTGTCATATCCTACACTCCCCGTTGATATGCTGAAACAAGAAAATATAAATTGTTTTCTGGTTCCGGGTTCACTTTCGATGAATGACCCCTGACTGTGGAAGCAATGGTAAGGAACAGTAAGACAGAGGGTTGAGTGGGAGCAAGTAAGCCGCAAGGATTTGAGTGGTTGTAAATTTGCAACAAATGGTCAAGAGAATCACATTGTGCCAAAGGGGGGAAAATTGCACTGTTAATGGGCTTTTATAAATTACCAGTTATCATGGCTATTGGGAACTCAAACAATACAAGTTGCAGCAAACGAAAAAAAACAGCAACTGTCACCTAGTAAAACAGGAATTTAATTTGAAAGACATCCTCACCTTCTGGCTCTTTTTGTTGCTGTTACTCCAGCTTCTCTTCCCGATGTTTCTTACCTTGTTGTTTCTTTTCCTTCTTCTTCCCGGCCTGGTTCTTCTTGCCATGTACCTCTCCCCTCACCACCATGTACCTCTCCCCTCACCACCATGTACCTCTCCCCACCCAACTCCCCACTTCCCATTTCCAACCTTTCCCCCTGCTTGGTTCCTCCTTTCCCCGCTTTTCCCTTTCTCCCCCCAGGCTCTGAACGGCCAGCCTCTGAACGGGCCAGATTTTGGCGGATTGCTCTGAACGCCACTCCACAGCTGTTGGCTCGGTGGATGGGCATCAGAGCTCCGCTCCGCTGCCCTTCTCACCACTACGCACCTTTCCCCACTCCCCAATCATCCCTTGTTCAGGCTCTGAGCAGCCAGCCTCTGAACGGGCCTGACATTGGAGTCTTTGCACTAAACGCCACTCCGCGCCGCGCCTGTTCGCTCGGTGAATGGGCATCAGTGCTCTGCTGCCCTCCTCACCACTATGTACGCGTACCCGTCCTTCCCCGCTCCCGACTTCCCTTCTTTTTCCAGGCTCTGAGCGGGCAGACTCTGACCGGGCCCGACATCGGTGGGTTCGCTCTGAACGCCACTCCGCGCCTGTTTGCTTGGTGGATGGGCACCGGTGTTCTGCTGCCCTTCTCACCCCCATATACCTCTCTCCCCCCCCCACTTACTTCCTTTTCAGGCTCTGAGCGGGCAGCCTCTGAACGGGCCTGACATCGGAGGCTTTGCACTCAATGCTACTCCACGCCTGTTTGCACGGTGGATGGGCATTGGTGCTCTGCTGCCCTTTTCCCGTGGGCATTCGGAGAAAGGGACCAAGGACGCCGAACCATGGGTGTTTGGGGAAGCGGTGAGTGAGAGGAATGGGAGGATGGAGAGAGGGATGGGGATGGGAAAGCAGATTACTTTTGAGTCGACTCAAAAGTCACCTGAGAGGAATGGGAGGATGGATGGAGGGATGGGGATGGGAAAGCAGATTACTTTTGAGTCGACTCAAAAGTCACCTGAGAGGAATGGGAGGATGGAGGGAGGGATGGGGATGGGAAAGCAGATTTTTGCAAATGGGGTGTGGTGGGATGCGATTTGGATTTTTTCCTGCCCTTGAAGGGCACTCAGTGAAAGGGAACAAGGACGACGCTGAACCATGGGTATTTGGGGAACTGATTAGAACAATGGGAGGGAAGGGGGGGATGGGGATGGGAGGGCAGATGTTTTGCAAATGGGCTGTAATGGCCTGGGTATTGAGAATTTTTTTCCTTATTCCCGCGGGCACTTAGAGAAAGGAACATAGGACGCTGAACCATGGGTGTTTGGAGAAGCTTTGGGAGCAAAAGGAAGTGGGCTTGATTGCTGGAGGTGACTTTTGAGACGTCTCAAAAGGAACATAGGACGCTGAACCATGGGTGTTTGGAGAAGCTTTGGGAGCAAAAGGAAGTGGGCTCGATTGCTGGAGGTGGGGCATGCATGGTCGGTGGATCGTTATTGCATTGCGCTGTGGCAAGCAAGCACAGCGTGCGCCAAGAAATGAACGAGCTGCGTTCGAAAAGAATCCGATGCACACACCGTGGGTGACAGACAACGCTTGCCACTTGCTGGAACAAACCAGTAGCTCAATTCTCCTTTCTTCCTTTTCTCCTCTCTCTCCCACACATCCTCACCAGTGTGAGGGAGTGTGTCGGAAGGCCATAAAGCGTCGCTACCGCCTGCTGCCGCACCTCTACACGCTCTTCTATCATCATGACAACTCCGGCAGCCCTGTCATCTCGCCCCTTGCTTTCACGGGTGTGTCTGGTTTGCCCAGTATTACGAGAACTACTGTCAATTATACTGCCTGCTGCTATACCGCCTGCTGCCGCACCGCCACACGCTCTTCTATCATCATGACAACACCGGCAGCCCTGTCATCTCACCACTCGCCTTTGCTGGTACGTGTGTTTAGCACAGCCATATGAGAACTACTGTCACCCACCCATACCGCCTGCTGCCGCACCTCTACACCCTCTTCTACCATCACGACAAGTCCGGCAGCCATGTCATCTCGCCCCTTGCTTTCGCTGGTGCGTCTATTTTTCCCGGTCGGTCCGTGTAATCTGTACTGCCTGAGTCATCATGACCATACCGCCTGCCTGTTGCCGCACCGCACCACTACACACTCCTCTAAACCCACCTCGATCAGTCTGCTGGGCCTGTCATCTCGGCCCTTGCCATTGCCTCGCCATTGATCAGTCAGCTGGTGCGTCTGTTTAGCACTGCGAGGCGAGAAACTGTTTTGTACGGACGCAGGCGGAAGCTGTCGTAGGCCTGTTTCTTCTGCTCACCTTCCAATCGTCTTACTTGGATGCGGCTTCAAAATGCATGTTCCCTGCCTGTCTCTGTCCCCATGTGCGCCCCTCTCTCCCGCTCAGACCCCTCCAACCCAGCTCTGCTGCGGGCAGTGGAAGATCCGTTCTTGCTGGGCCCGCTGCGCGCCCTGACTGCTGATACCGTTCATTTTGGATGAGGCTGCACGCGAATTAGCATCTCTACTGCATGCCTGTACCCCCCTGTGCGCCCTCGCCTCCCATCAGACCCATCCAACCCAGCACTGCGGGCAGTGGAAGACCGGTTCCTGCTGGGCCCTCTGCTCGTCATGACATTGTGAGACCTCTCTCCAACCCCCTTTTTGCGCTCGCCCACTTCCCTTTCTGCGCTTCCCCAGCCCCCAGCTCCCCCAGCCGCAAGCACACAGATACCACACACACAATTATCGGAACACACAAAGCGCACAAATCCACGAAACTCACGTTTGCACGAGCGCAGAAATGCAAATGCATACAAACGAAAAACTTCACTCATTTAGCCCTCTGAAGCTCTCTGTCTCACCATCGCAGCACCACGCACCACTACTCTCATGCACCACCCACACCATCTCTTGGTCCATACACTAGTTACTCACCCACACTCTCACTCACTCACCCGCTCACTCACTCGCTCACGCTCACTCGCTCACGCACTCCCTTCAACCACCTCCTCCCTTCCCTCCCTCCCTCAGCACAGAGCGCAGCAAGTTTGCCGACCCGTCAGCCGCCAATCAGAGGCTGCCACCTGGCACATGGAGGCGCTTCCATTTCCACGATTCCGACCGGGTAGGCCCAGCACCCACCAATCACCGATTGCCAGCAAGAGATGCCTCTGGCAAATGTCCAGAACCTCTTGTTCGAAGGTTTTATTGAAAGGAATTTAAGGACCCTTCGGTTTTTAGATTTCTCAAAAACACCCTGCATCTCAACCAAAGGTTCCTTTAGGGGGGCCTTTGAATAGTGCAGCAAGGAGGGAATACTCAGAAGCTTCTAGGAGTCACACTGCTAATTATCTCTCCCGTCTGTGCTCCCCACACCTCTTTGCACCGCAACAACTCCCACAGGACCTCCCGCTTCTCTTCTTGCAAAGAGGTGCCATTTTATTCACGTGGCCTGTCGCCCAGAATACTCAGGAGCTGTGCCAGGCTCGGGTGACACTGCTTCCCATCCCTCTCTCTCTTATCTCATCTTCTTGTCGCACCCTCTCCGTCTGTCACGTCAACTACAGGACCTCCCGCTGCTCTTCTTGCAAGGAGGTGCCATCTTACCCACAGGAACCGTTCAGAATACTCAGAAAGAGCTTTGTAGGCAAGTCCCTGTCACACTGCTAATCATCCCCCCCTTCCTGCCCCCACACCGCTCTGCACCGCAACAATTCCCACAGGACCTCCCGCTGCTCTTCTTGCAAGGAGGCACCATCTTGCCCACGAGGCCTGTCGCTCAGAATATTCAGAAGCTCTGCTGCGGTGGCACTGCTTTCCATCCCTCCCTCTCTTATCTCATCTTCTTGTCGCGCCCTCTCTGCCTGTCACATCAACTACAGGACTTCCCGCTGCTCTTCTTGCAAGGAGGTGCCATACTACCTGCAAGGCCTGTCGCTCAGAACACTCAGGAGCTCTGCTGGGGAGACTCGGTGGTGCCACTGCTAATCACTCCTCCCTTTCTCCGTGCCCCTGTTACTCCACACCCTCAGGACCTCCCGCTGCTCTTCTTGCAAGGAGGTGCCATACTACCCACGGGTCCTGTCGCTCAAAACACTCAGGAGCTCAGGAGGGAAGATGCGGTCACACTGCTAATCAGCCTCGACGAATCAGGTGAGGACGCGTCATTCAGGCTGTGAGAAAGATGAGCATTTCTTGAGGAAGAATTTTGAGAATTTCTCGCTCGTCGCATTTCTCAAAGCCAGCGACCACAATTGACCGCATTTCTTGAGGCGCCTCGAAATTATTTCCCCTCCGTTGGTCTGACTCTGACTGACCCACCACCGCCAATCGCCCTTTTGCCACAATTCCTTTTGTTCGTCTTCCTTTTCTCCCTGTATCCTATTTCCTCAGGTGCCAGCGAGGGCCAACTCTTCGAGGATGAGGGGGATGGGTTCGGGTACCGGACAAGGGAGTACGAGCCCCACCCCACCCCACCCCACCCCACCCCTCATCCCCCTCATCACTGGTGGGATGGGTTCGGACAAGGGAGTACAAGCCCCACCCCACCACCAGTGATGGTTGTTGCTTTAATTTTCCAACCAGGCAAACCCCTCGCTTGCTGTCGCTTAAATCCCCTCCTGCAGGGGCCAGCGAGGTCCAACTGTTCGAGGAGGAGGGGGATGGGTTCGGGCACCGGGCAGGGGAGTACCTGCTTTCTGCTTGCTCCCTCCATCCCCTATCCACTTGTGTCTTCCCCCAACCCTTCTGCTCGACCCCTTATCCCATGCTTCCAGGTTTCAGTGAGGGCCAACTCTTTGAGGATGAGGGGGATGGGTTTGGGTACAGGGCAGGGGAGTATCTGCTGACCAGTTACGTGGCGACATGTGGCACGGGGGATGGCGGGCTGCCAGTGGTGGAAGTCAAGGTGGCAAAAGAGGAAGGTTCCTGGAAGCGGCCCTGGCGGAAGCTGGTGGCCCGTGTGCTGCTGGGAGATGGTGCCTATGTGAGTTTGTTTGCCCGTTTGTGTAATCGCCTGTTATGTTTCCATCTATTGCAATTCTTTGTTGCTTGAGCGCTGTTTGTATTTGTTTCTTTCATAAACTTTAGAAAGCTTATCAGATCGAATTTCGGAGGAAAAGAAGAACTACCTTTTTCTGCTTACTGTTTTGCCTCTGCCTGCCAGGTGCAAGCGGAGGGGTGGGATGGCGATGCGATCTCTGTCCCGCTGCCCTCTGCAGTTGAGACAGACAGGCTGGTGGCAGCAGCAGTGGAAGAAGAGAAGGCGCTCATGGGTGGGTGATGGGAGAGGTGTGGAAGGGGGATTTGCCTTCTAGGTGGTGGCGGGGTAAAGGGCACACAGGGTAGCTCCGTTGCTGTCTGTCCCGCTGCCCTCTGCAGTTGAGACAGACAGGCTGGTGGCAGCAGCAGTGGCAGAAGAGAAGGCACTCATGGGTGGGTGGTGGGTGGGGAGGGGGTGGATGTGTGATTCGCCTATGAGCTGGTGGAGGGGTAAGGAGCACAAAGGGTAGATTGAGACATATTGAGGCGCACAAGAGACTGAACGCTGCCCTGCCACGACCGCACAAAACTGCCCTCACAGGCGCAGATTTAGACGTTTGAGGAAGCTGAGGGGTGGGACGGCGATGTGATGTCTGTGTCACTGCCCTCTGCTTGTCAATCTGACAGGCTGGTGGCTGCAGCAGGGCACGAAGAGATGGCCCTCATGGGTGTGTGATGGGAGTTATGGGATGTGATCTTGGTGGGTTGATGATTGGGTAGTGGAGGGGGCAAGGGCAATGGGTAGGTCGCTGCCCGTTGCTGCCCTCTCTGCTATGGAAGAGAAGAGGCTTCTTATGAGTGGAAATGGGAGGGGGAAGGTTGGTCTAATATGGTGGCCTTCCTGCTGCCTTAAGTACTTCTCAACATACTGCCAGACGGGGCAAAGGTGGATGGGGAAGATGAGTTTTGATCTTTCTCAGACAGTTACCAATTCTCTTTCCCTTCACTGCTCTCTTTCACTTGCAGAAGCGGCTCCCATACTACCAGACGGTGCGAAGGAGGATGAGGAGGAGGGAGGAGGCGAGGCACTGGCAGCAACGAACATGGCAGCTGGCGACCTGCAGTGCCACGTGGTGCTCAAACATGGAGGGAGACTTGACTCGCTCTTCCACTACCCCTCAGGTAGGCGTAGGGAGGGTGGTGGTGGGGAACAAGGGACAACTCGGTGAGTATGGATGCGGGAGGAGGGAGGAGGCGAGGCACTGGCAGCAACGAACATGGCTGCAGGAGACCTGCAATGCCACGTGGTGCTGAAGCATGGAGGCCGACTTGACTCGCTCTTCCACTACCCCTCAGGTGGGCGTAGGGTGGTGGTGGTGGGGAAGAAGGGACGATTCGGTGAGTATGGATGAGGGGAGTGGCGAGGCATTGGGAGCAACGAACATGGCAGCGGGTGACCTGCAGTGCCACGTGGTGCTCAAACACGGGGGGAGACTTGACTCGCTCTTCCACTACCCCTCAGGTGGGTAGTTGGGTGGTGTGGCACACATGCAACGGATGGGGTGCAGTGAAGGGCAGTGCAGCGGGTAATCTGCAGTGCCACGTGGTGCTGAAACATGGAGGCCGGCTGGACTCGCTCTTCCACTACCCCTCAGGTGGGCTGGTTTGGCACACAGGGAATTAGGGAAGGGAGGAGAATGGGAACTAGCAGCACGATGTGAGGAATGAGGGGACTGGCAGCACGATGTGAGGAATGAGGGGACTGGCAGCACGATGTGAGGAATGAGGGGACTGGCAGCGAAGAGCATGGCAGCAACGGGTGACCTGCAGTGCCACGTGCTGCTCAAACCTGGAGGGCGGCTCGACTCGCTCGTCCTCCACTACCCCTCAGGTGGGTGGGTGGGTGGGCAGGTCGCACAGAGAGGGAATTAAGGAAGGGAGGAGAGTGGGAACTAACAGTACGAGGGGAGGAGGCGAGGCACTGGCAGCAACGAACATGGCAGCGGGTGACCTGCAGTGCCACGTGGTGCTCAAACACGGGGGGAGACTTGACTCGCTCTTCCACTACCCCTCAGGTGGGCTCGGGTGGAAATAAAGGATGGAAGGGAGGGTGGGAGGGAGGGATGGCGAAGCGGGAGAGGGAGGTGGGTCGGGTTTGGGGTTAATGGTTCAGGAGCTGCTGGAGTCTCGCTTTGAGGAGGGTGCGTACGAGGAGTATTCAGGGAGCGAGTCAGATCAGTTGATGTTACTTTTGGGAATTCTCAAAGTAACATCAGCGTGGGTGCGTACGAGGAGTATTAGACCGTGATACACTTCCCCCTTTTCAGAGAGCGAGTCAGATGTGCTCAGTAGCAAACGTGCAAAGGTATCTAGGTACCACTTTTGAGACATCTTATATACCGTGATACACCGCCCCCTTTTCAGGCCAGGAGCTGCTGGAGTCTCGCTTTGAGGAGGGTGGGTACGAGGAGTATTCAGAGAGCATCGGAGCAAGTCAGATTAACTCATCCGCACCCGTGCCCAACCCTCCACGCCCATGCCCTGTCCCTCTCCTCTCGCAGGCCAGGAGCTGCTGGCGTCAAGTTTCGAGGAGGGTGGATATAAGAATTCAGAGAGCGAGTCAAATCAACTCGCATGCAACCGTGCTCGACCGCTCTTGAGACGCCTCATAAACCTTGATACCTCTTCCTTTGCAGGGCAGGAGCTGCTGGAGTCGCGCTTCGAGGAGGGTGGGTATGAGGAGTATTCAGAGAGCGAGTACCGATCGCCAGGCTGCCAGGAGCAATACCACGTGGTGTGGTGAGTGTGGGGAGGTATGAGTAGGGGGGGGGAGGGGTGAATACTTTTTTTCTACATGTAATCTGCGTGATACTCGTAATTCCCTGCGCCCGCTTGCAGTAAGTGAGCAGAGGGATCACGGCATGGGCGGCAACCACCGCTTAGTAGTGGGAGTTAAGGGAGTAAAGGGAGTATTTTGGGTGACATTGGCAGTAGTGGGTTACACTCACCATGCTTCCACTACTCCTTCCCTGCACGCACGATGCCTCGTCTCGGTTCACCATGCCCTGTATCAGATCAGATCACGGGGGGCAGTGGCCGCATGATCGTTGGGGAAAGATCGGCAGCAGCAGGCTGGGCTCATCATGCGCCGCTGCTTCTTGAGTCGACTCATGAGTCGACTCAAAAGTCAAATCGGCAGCAGCAGGCTGGGCTCAACATGCGCCGCTGCTTCTCCCTTCTCCCATTTCACTCTGTAAATGCTCTTCGCCCCTTCGGATACTCCTGATTACCTGCTTGCAGTGAGCAGAGGGATCACAGCACGGGCGGTAGTCACCGCATGATCGTTCAGGGGGGCATCGGCAGCGGGCTCATCATGCGCCGCTGCTTCTCCCTCGGCCAACCCATCCCCACCGCCTGGGCTGCTGCCACCACTACCGCTGCTGATGCTGCCCAATGCTTCTCCCTTCTCCCTAATGCTCTCTGCCCCTTTTTCACTGTGTAATACCGCTTGCCCCTCGCAGTGAGCAGAGGGATCACAGCACGGGCGGCAGTCATCGCATGATTGTGCAGGGAGACATCGGCAGTGGACTCATCATGCGGCGCTGCTTCTCCCTCGGCCAACCCATCCCCGCCGCCTGGGCTGCTGCCACCACCACTGCTAATGCCGATGCCAAGTCCCTGACCCTCAGTCAGGAGCAACAGGCCTCCTCTTTGAGTGCCGGGCTGGATGCGGCAATGGTGGATGGGCCGACGATGATGGATGGACCACCATCGGTTGATGCAGCTGATGATGCCACGTCAGCACTTCCGTCAACGCCCAATCAGCTGCATGTGACGACAGCGATCATAGCTGCAGCTATTGGTGCAGGATCGGGCGGCTTCTCGCGGTAAATGCTCCTATCATAGCTCATGCACCCGTGCAGTTGCTAAACCTCACCACCACCCCATATCCCACTCTCGCCCGCCTGCACGTGCACCCCTCCTTTCATGTCATACAGCTTCTCTTCTCCTCCGCCGTTTGTTTGAATTCTCAAAAGCAACTTCTTCGGCTTCACATGCACTTCTCTTCTACGAGGTGACTTTTGAGTCGACTCAAAAGTCACTTCGGCTTCACATGCACTTCTCTTCTGCTTCTCACACTTCGTCTCGCTCTCAACTCCTCGCATCCTTTCCCTCTTCACCCCATGTCCCAACCTCGCCTGTCTGCGTGTGCATCCCTCCTTTTCGAGTGGTCCACTCCTCCTCTGCACCTCCCCTCACTCGCCTCTCTCTTCTCTCTTCCCCCCTCTCCAACCTCTGACATAATTCCAGTGAGCAGCAGTGCCTAGGTTTAGGCTTAAGCAAGTAGGAAAAACAGTGAAACTCTTAACACTAGCTAATAGCCGAGAGTCTGTGAAACCGGAACTCCTCCGCACCTCCCCTCACTCGCCTCTCTCTTCTCTCTTCCCCCCTCTCCAACCCCTCCACCCCACACCCTTCTGCTCCCGCTCTTCCATATCTCAGCCTCGCCTGCCTGCGTGTGCACCCCTCCTTCCGAGTCGTCCACTCCTTCTCCTCCGCCGCTCCCCACGTGCGCTTCACATCCATCAAAGGCACGGAGGAGGTGGTGAAGCCAGACGTGCAGGAGCTCTGGCTGAGAGGCGACGACAGACCCAATGGTGAGTGGGTTTGGCTGTTGCTTCCCCTCACTCTCCTCGCTTCACATCCATCAAAGGAACCGAGGTTCTGGTCAAGCCAGACGTGCAGGAGCTCTGGCTGAGAGGCGACGACAGACCCAATGGTGAGTGGGTTTGCATTGGCGTTGCTTTCAGAGGACCTTTGTTCTGCACCTTGCATCTCAGCACAGTTCGTGTGCTTCACTAGGTCAACTCACAGACTTTCTATTCTGCGCATCCTTTGTACCTACAGGAGAATGGTCGTTGGTGGACCCAGGCACAGGTTGCTCTGTGGTCAAACGATCCAACCGGAGTGAACTGATCAGCCTGAGCCAACGACTTCAATTTGAATCACAAACTCTCCGCTTTATCTCACCTTCTGAATTATAGGAGAGTGGTCCTTGGTGGATCCGGGTACTTGGCCGCACTGTGGTCAACTTATTCAACACGAGTCAAGTGATCAAACTGGAGTCATAAACTTTTCTTTTTTTACTCCCCCTTTGTAACAACAGGAGAATGGTCCTTGGTGGATCCAGGCACAGGCCGTACTGTGGTCAACCGATTCAACCCGAGTCAAGTGCAGGCGTGCTTCGTGTATTGGGGCAGTGGGTTCTGCAACCTGGAGCTGGTTTCAGAGGAGAGGCCGGTGTCGGTTGAAACGCCCCTCATTGTCAACCACTCATACAGCATTGAGACAGTGGCAGAGTGATGCAGTCAACAAAGTCAACACGAGTCAAATGCAGGCGTGCTTTGTCTACTGGGCCAGTGGGTTCTGCAACCTGGAGCTGGTTTCAGAAGAAAGGCCTCTCGGTTGAAATGCCACTCAGGATTGATCACGCATCAGGCCTCTTGATAAAAGGGTGAATCACTCTTATGACCCTTACTATATAAGGGTGTCTTCTGATTCGGACCCTTCACAAAGTGGATTTTTTTCTGACACTTGCAGAAAAATGTGAATATGTTGAGGACCCTGATATTTCAGAGTGAAGTGGTGTAGTCGCACTGATTGGGAACATACATCCTCCTCAAAAAGTAGAGAATTAGCTCCAAGAACTGAGTCCCATGGATAACAATGCCCACCAAATGCCTCCCACAATTATCGATCCTACGTCCCTTTCACCACAGGACCCACTGTGCTAAGTTCTCACGCCCGCTAGTTATTTTTTATTAAAAAAAAAATACAGTTTGGTTTAAACCCTTACAAAAAAGAGTGGTGCTTGCTTGGTACCCTTACAGAAAGAGTGAAAGCAGCTGGTTACCCTTATGAGAAAGACTGTTTCAAATCCTATCCAGAGTCCTGTCACGCGTACATCATGGAGACAGTGGCCGGATTATCTGGTCAAGAAGTCAACCAGGTTTACTTCATATACTGGGCATGTGGGTTATGTCAACAGGGCATATGCATATAGAGCATCCATACACCTTTATTCCTTCAGAATTGACTGGAGGCACACCTTTTCTTGTTTGCTCAGCATTGTTAAATTAAGAATGTTAACAAACTACAACTCCACAATCACTACCGATTTCAGCCGTGATTTGTCAGCATATACTTCATAGCGAAGCGCCCTCGCTTGCGCGGCGGCCGTGCGAAAGTATTGACTCAAATGAGAGGTTTGTATGCAGGCAGGTCCAAGCTGGCGAATTCATAACTGGCGGAACATCACTCGGCAGGACTTCGCCGAGCTGTGCTGGGCGACGCCAACAGCTGCGCGAATTGCGATGTGCAACTGTTTTATCGCTGACGAATTCCATGTGGTAGAAAGTTACTCGGCAGGAACTCGCTGAAGCTTTCTTCTCACGCCGTGCTGGCGGTCGCGAACAGCTGCGGAAAGTGTGGAGTCCGCTTGACTAGGAAGGATGACTACTAGCGAATTCTTGTTTGATTTCGCGAACTGCCAACGAGGAATGCTGGTTCTTTTATCTCCTTCCTCGCCAGCCCCTTTCAGAGTTAGAGAGTACCCTTCCACTCTCGACAATTCCTTACAGTATACATAAACCGCCATATCAGGTAGGCGCAACGACCATATCTCGTAAGCTTCAAGTTCATAGAGCGCATTTGTACATACACCTCGCCTCGCAATTTTTACTGCTGGACCAATCCGTTTTCTATATACATATAGAATGCCCCCGGGGTAGTTCACTATTTTTTTCTTTGTAATAACTCCACTTGAATACGAACGGAAGTAACTTCTTTCATTTCTTGGCGACAGTACAGACATGGCGCGTTTGCAATTGAAACTGACCGTTATTGCGGGTGTAATACTCATCATCCTCGTGTCTCTGACCACCGCTAAAAGAACGTCGAAAGGCCTCCGTCCTTCGCGCCGTTTCTTGCGGGAGAGCCGGCTTCCTCTAGGCGCGCGAACACATGGTAACCGTCGCCAGCTGCAAGAATCCTTGTATGATAACGGCGATTGGTCTGGTGACAGTGGAGGCTTTTCGAACTATTGGAGCGACTGGTTAAACGACGGTGGCGACTGGTCTAGTAATTTGCCCGAGGACTGGTCGAGCTGGTTAAACAACGGTGGCGATTTGTCTAATTTGCCCGACGACTGGTCGAGCTGGTTAAACAACGGTGGCGATCTGTCTAATCTGCCCGACGACTGGTCGAGCTGGTTAAACAACGGTGGCGATTTGTCTAATCTGCCCGAAGACTGGTCGAGCTGGTTAAACAACGGTGGCGATTGGTCTAATATGCCCGATGATTGGTGGAGCGATTGGGGTGGCGACACCGGCGGTGGCTGGGACGACGGTAGCTCTGACGGCGGCGGTTGGGACGACGGTAGCTCTGACGGCGGCGGTAGCTCTGACGGCGGCGGTTGGGACTACGGTAGCTCTGACGGCGGCGGTATTTCTGATGGCGGTGGCTGGGACGACGGTAATTCCAACGGCGGCGGTACTTCTGACGGCGGCGGTTGGGACGACGGTAGCTCTGACGGCGGCGGTAGTTCTGACGGCGGAGGTAGCTGGGACTATGGGGGAAGCTCTGGCGAAGGCGGCGACAGCGGGGGGGACGGCGGAAGCGGCGGAAGTGACGGGAGTAGCGGCAGCGGCGGAAACGGCGGAAACGGTGGGGGCGGGGGCACAGTAGACGCGGGGGCGATGCTGGAGGGACACAACGCTGCGCGCGCAGAGCTGGGCCTCCCCGGGCTGGGCTGGGACGCGAATCTGGCGGCCTCCGCGCAGGCATGGGCGGACAACCTGGCTTCGCGTGGATGTCCCATGGAGCACGGGGGACACGATAACATGGGGCAGAACTTATACTGGAAGAGGCCTGCTGCTTTTAACGCGGATGAGGACCGTGGTGCAGTGAAAAGCTGGGTGGATGAGAAGCAGTATTGGACGTATAGTGCGATTCCGGGGGGGTGTGTGGAGGGACAGCAGTGCTTGCACTATACGCAGATTGTTTGGGAGGATACTAAGAATGTGGGATGCGCTGCGGCTCAATGCAGTGACGGGGCCGGGATGTGGGTGTGCCATTACTATCCACAGGGGAACTGGCAGGGGGAGTACCCATATACTACCTAACAGGACCCAACTGAACTGCACTGGACCTGACTGGACCACTGTCTGCCCTGCTGGAAGTATGGAGACCGTTCTCAAGAAGACTTATGATCGGAAGGAAGTGCAGTGCACCCCTCGTCCGAGCACGATGCACTTTGGGTTTTACCGCGGGTGGGAGGAGGAAGTGCAGAGTGAGCTGGTGCAGTTCTTGGCGGTGCATTTTATGCATCGGAAGAAGTTTTTGAGTACCAAAATTTCCGCCTGGAGAAGTTGTGGGGTAGTGATGTGCGTGGATCGTGCATGTGGGATTTGTGATCCGCATATTTGGCATTTGGCTGTGTGTGAGCAATATCTACCGTATGTGGTGCAGGAATCGTGTTTATGGTAGTACAAGGAACCAACCAAAGCCATCTCTTTCAATTCAACCAAGCCAAGGCTAGGGGGATGTTCCTAAAACCCCAGACAAGCTGCACCCCTTTAGATTGTCCAAGCTACGAGCATGTGAGATGAGATAACTAACAAGTGTGCGAACAAGCTGTAGCACAAAAAACGAGGGGGCAAAAAACACATAACGGTACATACTTCAATCCCATCTTCCATCTCAGCGTACATCCTCAGAACCATTCAGTACATTCTTCCATTCCAATACCCAACTTCCAACTTACCACTCCGCATCTAATTTCTCCTAGTAGACGCAAAACGCATCCCATCCTCCCTCGTCGTCCATGCCATTGTCAGTGTTAAAGCCATACGGATGCTCAATGTCATCATCCTCCCTACCACTCTCCTCCTCTTCCTCCGATGCCTCCTCCTCTTTCCACCACCGCATCGTCTCCCTCCCCCTCCTCCTCTTCCACATCCCCTCCCACTCCTGCTGATCCCCTTTCTCACCCTCTTCCTCGTCCGCATCCCCTCCCTCCCTTTCTTCCCCTTCCGAATCCCATTCCCCCCTTTCTTCCCCTTCCGAATCCCATCCCCCCCTTTCTTCCACTTCCGAATCCCATTCCCCCCTTCCCCTTCCGAATCCCATCCCCCCCTTTCTTCCCCTTCCGAATCCCATCCCCCCCTTTCTTCCCCTTCCGAATCCCATCCCCCCCTTTCTTCCACTTCCGAATCCCATCCTCCCCCTTCTTCCCCTTCCGAATCCCCTCCCTCCCCCTCCTCCTCCACCTCCTCCCCCTCTCTCTTCTCCCAATCCACCCCAACCCTATAAACCCCCCTCCTGTCTCGTTGGATGAGCAACAGGCACCTGCTGCTGCTGCACGAACGCAGTATCGCCATCTTCCGGAGAAAGGACGGCAGCCGAGTCAGCTGCTTGCACGCTTACACGCCCTGCAGTTCAAGCTTAGGCAGCTGGGCAAACGAATCCGGCAAGCCTCGCAACTGCTTCAGTTCTGCCATCTAACTCATCATCACTCTCTACCCAGCCTCTGCCACAGCCCATCTCATAGTCACTGTCCATGGCATACTCATGCTCAATATCATTATCTTCACCCCCACTCTCCTCGTCCTCTGGTGCCTCCCCATCTGCCTCTTCCCTTTCCCCAGCCACATCGCCTCCCTCCTCCCCCTCTTCCTCTTCTGCGTCCCCTCCCTCCTCTTCCTCCTCCCCCTCCCCCTCCTCTCCCTCCTCTCTCCTTGCAGGAATCCCTCTGGTGTTGCGACGGGAGAGCAGGGGGCATTCACTGATGTCGCACTCACGCAATGTTGGCATATTCCGGAGAGAGGTGGGCAGCCGAGTCAGCTTCTTGCATATGATCACCTCCAGCTTCTCAAGCTTAGGCAGCCGTGTGAACGAATCTGGCAAGCTTTGCAAGTGCTTCAGTCCCAGAATCAACAACTTTTGGAGCGAAGACAGCTTCGAGATGTCATCAGGAATGCTTGGGATTCCAAGCATGATAAGAGCAGGATCGTAGCTTGGGTAGATTCACGAACGACTTTGGAAGCTGCATCAGCTTGTAGCAATCGATAATATCCAGCGTCTCGAGCATTTTCAGCTGCCCGAGAGACTCGGGCAGCTGCTGCATTGAGATGAGGTCAAGCAGCTGCAAGACACGCAGCCCTGCAAGCCTCCCAAGGGTCTCGGGCAGTGCTTTCAGATGGTAGGTCGTATCAATCTTGAGCCTTTGCAGCTGCGAGAGTTGGGAGATGCAGTCAGGGAGAAGGTCAAGTTTATACATCTCCAGGAGCTTCAACTGCGTCAGAGAGGACAGCCGACCAAGGGATGGACCAAAAGACTCCACATTAAGCGCTTTCATCTTGAGGCTCAGAACGGAAGGAAGCAGAGGGCGGCTGCTGCTCCTGCTGCCGGTGCTGGTCACAAAGCCCCTGGCAGTGCGTCTAAGCACCGTCTCATCGCCTAACACCCCGCTTAGCGAACAACATGCCCGCACGTCCAACGATCGGAGACTGGGCAGCTCAAGGAGCGCCGGAGGGAGACATATCAGGCCGCCCATCCCAACGATCCTGACCTCCTCGAGCGCCGCCAGCCGTCCGATTCCCTCTGGCAGGACCGTTATTTTAGGGCAGTTTCCTAGTTCCAGACTGGTGAGGGAATCAACGCCAGAGAATGAAGCAGGGAAGGGAGGATAAGCGTGGCATAGACTCAAGCGACAGCTCCTAGAGGCTCTTCAGGTAGCCAAAGCCGTCCAGCAGCGCGCCCCTGAAGCGTTTCGCGTCTACAATCTTCAGCGTTTCAAGAGATGTCAGGGCGGAGAAGGATGGTGGGAGGTGGGTGAGAGCCGTGCACTCTAGCAGATGCAGGTGGCGCAAGGAGCGGAGACCTTTACCCATGTCGTCTGGCAGCACAGTGAGGCACGGACAGTCGTTAAACTCCAGGTGCTCGAGAGAAGACAGCTGGGACAGGGAGTCGGGAAGTTGCTGCAGCTGCCTACACTCCAACAATTTCAGCTCCCGAAGCGATATTAACTGCCCGAATGTTTCGGGCAGGTGCGTGAGCTGTCGGAGGTCTTTCAAATACAGCTTCTCTAAAAGCACCAGCTGACCAAACTCCTGCGGCAGATGCGTCAGATTCAAAAGATGATCGAGGGAAAGCTCTTGAAGAGTGGTAACCAGGGCGATGGAATCAGGTAAGGCTGCGAGTCTTCGCAGATTTAGCACGAGTTTCCGAAGCGTAGACAACTGCCCGAAATCTTCAGGCAGCACTGAAATTTCTCCCATGTCAAGGGCGAGTTCGGTGAGTGCGGGCAGGCGGGGAAGGGACACGGGCAGAGTCGTGATGTCACTGCAGCCGTTGATCAATAGAGTCTTCAGTCGTTGCAAATGCTCCAGATCCGCAACCAAGTCGCGCATTCCCCTCACTTCAACCAAGATGATAGTTTCAAGTGCCCCCAATTGACCAAAATCGACCGGCGACGGAGGAAGAATACTGCATCGTCGACACTCCAGGACGGCGAGAGAAGAGAGCTCGGTGAAAGAGTCCGGCAGCTGCAACGCCTTGGAATGATGCAAGGAAAGGCGGTTCAGAGCGGTAAGCTGCCCGAAAGAGTCTGGAAGTGACGCCAAGTTGCAACCATTCAGCTCCAGCGACGTCAAAGAAGCCAGATTTCCGAAATTTTGAGACAAAGCTTCGAGCTTATAAGTGTTCAGCACGATGCTTTTGAGAGACTGCAGCGAGGTCAGTGTGTCGGGAAGACGCGTGACTCTTGCCACGAGGTGCAGATGCTTGAGGAAAGTAAGTCGGTCGATTGACGTGGGAATGGCAGCACTATCAGAACAATGCACACGGAGATCTTCCAGCCGCGTACACCCCTCGAACAGCGCAGCGAGGCTCATCTCGGTTACATCTTCGCGACTACACCAACGTGACATCGATAGGACATGAAGCTGGGTCAAACGGTGACACGTGCTGGCGAGGTGAGAGAATAAAAATTTAGAGGTTGAGGTGAGGCTGCAGGAGGAAAGGATGAGCTTTTCGAGATTCGGGAACGAGGACAGAAGCTCAACAAGCCGACGCGGATCCATACGGAGGTCATGGGGCAAACAGAGCTCGTATTGCACGCGGCACGCGATCCGATGCCATTGCTTGCTAACGAGTGCATGCTCCGGCAGGCCATCAGGTCGAACAAGAACCCAAAGGATCCGAGAAAGAAGCTCCTCAGGTAGCCGCTGGATCGGCGATCCGACTGGCATTGTAAAAGGAGGAGAAAGACAGGAATTGATGGCTCTTCACCGCGTTAAGTCTGCTTCTAATTAGGAAACGTGGCTTCTACAATCGTTTTCTAGCAAGGTCCGTCAGACAAAAAGAGTCTCGGGAGGATCAGTTTCACGTAGGATCAATGAATACATTTCTCTCACGAAGTAAGGGTGCGTAACCATTTTGCACCCGACGGTTCGAACCGTGGACCGTCCGGGTGCGAAACGGTAACAAACTTCGCACAATGTCGTCATCATGTTCGCTAAGGTGTTGGCGCCATCGCCAACAAAACGGACTGTAGTGACACTTTTTCCTACTTCAACGGTCCGAAATCTGAACCGTAGACGGTCCGCATCCCAAACGGACTGTCCGACAGTCCTTGCACACGATTGGAGGGCGACGCAAAAACTGTCGAGTCACCTCGTCGACCAACAAAAACGTACGAAGCTACTTCACGAATCGACATTGACCAACAAGTGACAACCCGTAAACAAAAATGATTCGATAACGACATTCGTGAGCTTGAGAGAATTGCGTAACGCTTGTACAGTGATCGCGAAACTGTACATTATGAAAAAAGTGTCACAACTGTCTTCGGACAGTCCAAAGTTGCAGAAAAGTCAGTCGGACGGTCCCGTTCTCGATAGGTGGACCGTCCACTTCGTTTTAAGCGGACTGTCCGTCAAAATCGTAAAACGCAAAATGGTTACGCGCCCTAAGCATTGGGCTTGTTCGTGGCACCGTACTCAACCGCTCGTTTATCTCGAGCCATTCCCGCCAGATACTCCCGCGTTACATCATACTTGCGAAAAGGACGGGCGATACAGGCACCCAACGACGAACCCGTATATCGACTCTGCGAGGAACACGCACCGTGCATTTCGCGATTCCGAAATGGGATGTGCTGGTGGCTGATGTGGTAGTGCCCCGTTCCCGCCAAAAAAGTGATGGCAGCGTACTCGTTAATGGGTGGAAATTCACTCTCGTCAGTGAGAGCATCTTACCAAAAATGAGTTGTTATTCTAGAATACTTGTAAGGAAAATTCCTTTTCCTTACTTCGCGTCCCCGCTAAGCGCGTACACCACTGTAGCACCACAGTCAGCACCGTTACCACTCGCAACCCTCGCATCGATAATCCTCCCGCCACCTTCGCACGTCGCACCCCGACCTCACGGCTCGGCGAGTAACCCGCGCTCCGGGCCTCCGCTTCGACATTTTCCCCAACCTCAGTCCCAGGCCCGTCACGCGACAACCACAGTCCATTACCGTTACCACTGTAGTTTCGCTATATATTCTTCGCTCATGCCTTCGCTCATTGTACTCTTGCTTCGATAGTGCAATCCTCGTTCGCTCACTCAATTGCACTCGTAACACTTGATATTTGTTGGGCTGAGAATTTCAGCCTTAGGATCTTTGCAGAGAATAGGCTAGTAGGTGCTAGAGTAGCACAGCGGAAGTCTTGAGTGAATGTACTTGTGCTGGTATGTGAGAACAAGTAATTGATTAAAGCAAAGGGCATACAGGAATATATAGAAAGGATAGATTACAAGAAGCGGTTATGTTTATCGAGACGCGTAACGCTTCGACTGTCGAGGTGGTTACTGTTCACTGAAGCGTCGCTTGCTGTTACGTAACCTCCAGGCGGTTACAGCTCGCAACCCCCAGTTGCGGTTTGATGTGGTACGCGCCTTTTCGACTTCGTACTCCTTTTGTTGTGCTTCAGTATCGGGTGAGGTTCGATACTAAAGAAACGCACTAAGGCATGCGTTTATTTTCCCAACACTCCCCCTCGTTTCTGGAGTGTCGACGTGGTCAGCTTCGGTGACGTGGTCCAATCCGGTGAGCAGCATGCAGTACTCGAATTTCCCCTTTGGTAGCTTCTTTGTGAGATAATCTGCTGCCATCTCGGTGGTCGGACAGTAATCCAGCTGGAGTTTTCCTTTCTCAATTTCGTCTTTCACGAAGAAGTATCGCAGTGCGATATGCTTGGTTCTGTTGGCGAAGACATTCTTGTTCGCGATCCGTATCGCGGACTGGTTGTCGCAGAATAGCGAGA